CTTCGGCCTCAGAGAACTTAGCGGTCCATTCTGATAGGTGTGGCAGCTCGCCGTCAGATATTGTCTCGACACAAAAACAAGATGCGAGGGAAATAGACGAAGCGTATTTTATGGCGTCTATTGGAGCTGACACTGTGTGAGCGCTCCTTCCGTTGCTCTTGCAGATGACAAGGTAGATTTCGTTAAAAAGGTGTGGCACGTTTGTGTGACAGCGTGTGTGCGTGGCTGATGCCGATCGTTATCGGTTTGCTTTGTGTGTTCTCGTTCCTTTCTCCCTTCTGAGCTTATTTCTTTTTTTGCCGAGCAATAAACTTCCAGTTGTAAGTCAGTGCCTTGTCTGTGTGTTTCTTCGTCCTAGTCCTACGTCTTTTTTGCGCTGTTCCCACCAAACAGTATGTACCACCAACTAGCCCAACTACATGCCTTAATGGAGTTCCTGCAGTTTGTTCCTGTGACTGACATGACAGGGAAAGGTCTCGCCAGCACGACAGTGAAAAGTTTGAACGACACTGGTGTTGCAATGAAGTACTTGACAGCTCAAGCGTATGACGGTGCGGCCTCAATGAGTGGGGCTCACAATGGCATTCAGGCACTCATCCAACAACAGTTTCCTAATGCTATTTATGTTCACTGTGGATCACGCAGCTTTAACTTGAGCCTGTCCAGTGCATGTTCTCTACCTCAGATTAGAAACTGCATGGTAACAATAGCTAAAGTCTGCGAGTTCTTTCACACTCCAAAACGTCAAGCTGCTCTCAGCGACCAGATTGAAAAGCTGGCACTCAAGCCTCGCGTAACGCGATCAAAGTCGCTTTGTCCAGCCCGAAGGGTTCAGAGGCATGACGCTCTCAATGTTTTTGTAGAACTCCTAGAACCTGTTTTGGTAACCCTTCACGATATCGCCACTAACTGGAATGATCATCAAATATTCAACTCCTACTGAGTGTACTACAGAGGAGCAAACTTTTTCTCTTTTTTCGTGGCAGAGAAGGTTCTTAGTTTCAGCTTACCTCTGAGCAAGTACCTGCAAATGATAAACCTTAATCTTTCATCCGCTGTTGAGTTGGCTGAGGATGTTTTGGGAAATCTGCAAAGTCTATGGTGCAAAGCTCACGAAGAATTTCAAAAGCTTTTAGAGCACAATTCTTCAAACTGTGCAAATCTTGGCTTAAGCATAGAAGTGCCGAGGGTCGTTGGTCTGCAAACAATGTGCTGAAATGTGGAGTCTGTGAATCAAGATGAGTACTTCTGTCATTGCATATTTATTCCATTCCTCAAAGCTTTTGCAGAGCAAATGGACAAATGATTTGTGAAGCACAGGAGCATTCTTGCTTAATTTCAAGTGCATCTTCCTTTGTCGTCAAGCCCACTACCGAATTCCAATGATGAGGGCGCAGACACCTCTTGTGTGAGCGCTACCATACCAATATTGCATACGGAAACTTCTTGGTTGTCGGAGAGCTACACCTCTGGTATAAGAGGCTCCGAAGGCTACGCAAATATCCCACAAGTCCACTAGAGGCACTTAAAACATGTCCGTCTTTCTTGTTTCCCGTAATACAAAAGCTGCTTCAAATTATGGCTACTCTTCCAGTAATGACACTGACAAGCGAGAGGTCTTTTTCAAGAGTCTTTTTCAACTCTGAGACGCCTAAAACCTACCTCTGCAATACGACTGGGGTGCTAAGATTAAACAAACTGGCATTGCTAAATGTTCACCGTGCGGTTTCCGTATCTGCAAATGAGATTCTCGACGAACAAGCAACAAAACCACGGCGGTTGGACTTCAAGCTGTGGTAGCACCTGAAGTCCAACGGCTTCTTCTTAAACCGTAATTTTGTTCTTTTTTTCGATAACGATGAACTGTTTTTGATTACTTTATGGAGTCATGGTGATAGTTTCAGGGTTCTACAGGAGAAGAAATCGGGGTAGCAATTGATAGGTGGTGCAAGCTAATGCCCGTAAAAAACGGTAACCCAGTATCTTTTTCTCTAGAGTGGCAGGGAATGCACATGCTAAAGGCAAGAGGGGCTTTCCTTGTCATTCTCCAGCATGTGAGGTTAGTATATTTTAGCTATTAGAATTTAAAGCATCTGCCAGCCCAAGTTACCACTCGATTGATATTGTCCACCGTATTCATACATCAGCCCAAACAGAATAATAGTGTGTAAGACAAAAATATATCGACCGGAAATTAGCACATTATTAAAATAGCTCTAGAAGGTGGGCACAAGACGAGGAAAAATACATGACAAGTGCTAACTTGTAACTAAGTATTTTATTTAAATTCCAGGATCGCTACCAGGTCTCTACAACACAAGCACATATCTTTTCATAAAAAGTGTCACAACGCCAAAACGCAAAGGCATAGCAGCAGGAAAGTTGCCTCCATAGATAAACACTGTATCATGCAAAAAACAAACTGCATACATTTTCGAAGCAGTAATCTCTACAATTTTCTACAATATATATATTAAAATATATATATTTCAGTATGATGTACCACCCTACAACAATCCCGAATGGGATTAGTAGTATTGGAAATAAATAAATAAATAAAATTCATGTTGGCATCTGTCCTGTGCCTTTCTTCGTCTTGTGTCTCATCCTTGTGCACTATTATAATACCATGTTCAACAACCAACTAGCTCAGCAATCCCCCCCTTTCACGGAAATTTGTGAAGTGCGTGGGGTATGTGGAGATGGGTATGAGACGGCTGAGAACTTTGATACTTCATTGTAAAGGGCCTCACTTTTCAGTTTTCAATGAATTGACTGATTTAGTGAACGTGCTGGGGTGGAAAAACAGCCAAGAAAAAGAAAAACACGAGGCTTAAGCAAACTTACTTTGATAAGCCTGAATGGTGGTCATGTCGAAGTAGTTTTCCTGGAGACATAACTCAAAGTGTGATAATTATTCTGTTTTTTTCCTGGGCGATTCGTAGAGAGGGCATTGTGATTTTTTTTTCTTACTCTTTGTCGTGAATAAATTCTGCAAATGATAAATGTGTCATCAAGGAAGATATGCGCACTGGGGTGCGGAGGCAGTTCCGTCGCACGGATTTCAATGTTAGGCAGAAGTAATGTCAAAATGTTTAACGCTCATTTGTTAGATGAAGAGAGGGGCATATATTAAGAGAGAAAGAAAGTAGGAATGAAAATTACATATTTTCAATTATATTTAAAAAAAGTAGCGAAGGGCAGGAGCCGTCGCTCCATTCAAAGTGCTCAGCTGTATACTAATCTACATCTATTCACCCAGAGGGCACTGCTACCGGCAATCAGAGCAATCTTTTCTGGGCTGGTTTTGCCCAAAACAAAATCAGTCGGTCATATGCAGGACAGGTTTAGGAAAGGCATGCTGAGGCTGGGACCAGGATGCTTTCTCACCTCAGCTGTAACAGTATTGGTTTATACAATATTAACACAAACTGCATATAGGAATTTGGGTGATTCTAAAAATAAAATAAATATTTTTTTTTAATTTTACATAAAGCTTTACATAAAGCTTACTGATCTTGGTTTGAACAAACTGTCCTGAACTTACTGGAGATATAGCTTCAGTTATACTTAGTTTAATTTCACAAGTTTTAACTCTATTTGTCAATTAATGCATACCTGCCAACCTATGGACTCTCAAATTCGTAAAACTCACGCGGCCGTGGGGGGGGGGGGGGGGGGGTCTTTAGGCGAAGCAATATGCAGCTTAATGCCAGCCTCGTCACCATGCGAAACGCTTACGTCACACGTGCACGTGCTAAAGAATACAAACTTCTCTCCATTTTTGGTCGGCACGAAGCACGGGAATTCCGACGTGTGGGACTTTCAGGAACACCTCAAAGTACCTCTTTTGAGGTTTGGAGTTCGACATTGCGCCGCGAAGCCACCGCGACCAGGGGAATGCTACGATTACAAGTGCTCCAGACACACACAGAAGCCGCATTGCTCGCCTCGAAACTGGCCGAAACAGAGAGGCCCAAACACGTTTGAACATGCCGAACCAACGTGCGCCGCCGAACACACGAACAAAGGCTTTGGGTTTTGGATTGGTTTCGGATCCGTGACTACCGGATAGACTGATAGTAAAAACCCCAACGCTGCCATGGACGGTACCTATAGCCCTCTTGTGGCGGTACAAAATACCGCCAGCAACATTATTACAAAAAAAAGTAAAAAAAAAAATTTTTTATGTCATTTTTTTTTTGTAAAATTTGAAGCAAGATTTGTAAAATCGTAAAATTAGTCCCAATTCATACATTTTACAAAAAATTCGGAAGAGTTGGCAGGTATGGTTGATGTTATATTAAAGGGAAACTGAAGTGGTTCTTTATTGAAGAAAAAATGCTTGAATCATTTGCCTATGACCCGAGGGACCACGAATATCAAAACGATTCTTGAATATGATGTGCGGAGCAGCCGTAAAACCACTTAAAAAATAGCGGGGAAGCCCCGCCCTTTCGGCAAAAAGGGAGAGGGGAAGCAGTTGAGAGAGGAGGAAGTGACGTCACATTAGGAACTCCCATCCCATGACAGCTGCACCGGCTTGCCCTTCTCCATTGATAACGAATATAATCGGAGATAAAAGCTTTGGCTAGATGGCGCAGGTTGCCACCCGATTTGAAGGGTACAGTTGTATTAATTTGTCCATCCATACATACATGCCTCCGCTCTCTATGGTGTCATCTACGCGCGATTTTTAGCGAGTGCTCGGCAAGGGTGCTCAGCGCTTCGCGGTTTCGCCGTATTCCTCCGTTCGTTGTTGACTGATTTGTTTATCTTTGGTGTTCCGTCTTCGCCTTAGTTTTTGCTGTTTGTCCATCTCCTTCGCCGTGACAGCCGTGCAGCAATAGCAATGCCAGCTGTGTGTGTGGCCGTAGGTTGTTCCAACTCTTCCCGGAGAGACAGCCCGTTTCATGTTCACGTTTTTCCTGCCGACCCCAGGATTGGCAAGTTATGGGTCTCCACCATACAGAGAGACAATTCCAAGCCCAGCAAGTAGAGCGTGTTTTGTTCGGCGCATTTCACGGCCGACGCATACGAGGACAAGGTATGGCTTAAAAAGAGTATGGGCATGGACTACAAGCCACGACTGAAGCAAGACGTTGTGCCAACCATTTTCTCGCACAAGAGGAGACAAGCTCAGCGCACACTGGGTGCATTTGCGAAGAGAAGGCGGATGGAGGTAAGCCGCATTGGTTCATACTTCTAGAACAATAATTTTTGTGGGTTATGCTTGCTCCCGAACGGTGCTCGCTAGCCAGATTCGCAACTTCGCGCGCTTTGTTGTTGCATAACAGTCCCAAGCGCACATTCAAGCACCAGCAGCTGTTGAAGTCATGCCCGTGTCCCGGTAGATGAGTTTCAGAGTAAAGTGTGAGTGTAGGAAACGCCTCGAGCACGAAGTGCACTGAATTAGACGGATGCTTTTGTCGGACGGTACTTGAATGCTCAGTAAGTGCGCTGTCGATCAGCTTCCTGGACACAGTTTTGAAATAACAGGGAGATGCGAGTTCTAAAACAGCAATTCGCATGACAAACTTATGAAATACTAGCTGGATGGAGCGTCCAGAACGGTCCATTCAATTTGTTCAGTGCTGTGAAGGAGAAATGCTGATGCGGGGAAAGACTACACCGCAAACGACGCAGCAAACCTTTGCTCGATTTCTGAGGCAATTATTTGTCCAACCTTCTCTTCAATTATAAGAAGCTTTAGAGCATCTGCTTACCTTGATTTTCGATACGCTGAGGGCAGCGGGTTTATCGGTTCTCCCAGAGTACAACATTTTTGTGGCAAAGTAATATTATTGACCAGATTGAAAAAATTTAAATGAGACATTGTTTGGGGTTTCTAATTATCCTAGCTTGCTTTCATGTTGAATTATTCCTAGTCTCTGTACTTCGACATAAATTTGTTGCCAAACTGCCCCTGATCAGATTCACATTTGTTTTTCAGACTGTTTCAAAGCTTCTCTCTTCACCGGCTGGACCACCCACAAGCTGCTCTGTTGCTGTACAAATACCAGCAGAGCCGCTGACTCAGGCCATGAACTGCACCGGGTCAGTGGCTGTGGGGGCAGCGGATGGCGATTGTCCAGATGCAAGTGCTCCCCTAGACTTCAGTGTTCCATTTGTAAACAGCGACACCTCACAGTCGTCTAAGCAGGATAAAAATGTGCAGGTGTTGGTGAGGCCAGGGACAAAGTCTGCACACATTCAAGTAAGGGCTCCCACGTGATACATTGGTATGTGAGCGATGCAGTGAACAGGCATTTCGGCTAAATATATACAGATTATGTGTATAGACCATTCTGTAAATATTCAGTGCTCCAACTATCTTGTCAATCTGTTATAATAATCTGATTTGTGGCGCCTAAAGGTCCACCCACAAATAGAAGGCGCAGTTCAGCTTGTTTGACACTTCTGCGATTGCAGAATGCAAAGGTGGCAGAACGGTAACAAAACAGGGTACATACCGACTTTGCTATGTGTTCTCTCTGCTTTCTTTGTGTTCTGAAGCCAAATTGTAAGAGGGAAGTGATTGCTTCCAGAATGTCTGAAGCGTGCGACTAGGCCCGAGCATACATCAGAAGACTCCTGCAAACTGCCGCGTCATGCGGAACAATGTGATATCGTCAAGTATTAATTTATCCAGAAAAAAACAATATTCGCAAGTTCTTTTGCAGCATAACTTATACTGTACATCTATTCTTTGCAGAAAGCTGGATTTTTAGGAGGCATATTATAATGGTTTCAGGTCGTGACATGTCTTGAACCATAAGTTAACCGGCCAGAGTAGATGCATTTCTTCATTTGTGAGAACTTAAATTTTTGAAGTTCATCTTTTGTGCATAATCTATATGTTCTACCTGTTTACTTTCCAGGGGTGCAGACATTCTTTCCATACACCAATGCAGCTTGCCAGACAAATCAATGGAAGCCAAAAGAAGCTCATCTAGAGGACAGCTGTGACGAGTTGGGCAAACCAGACGCAAGCAGGGAAGATCCTAGAGCCAAGCATGACAAGGACTACGTCCCCTCAGAGGAGTACCAAGAAAGGTGTGCATAATGAACACAAATGGAAACCATATTGTGGTAACCCAAATTGAGAGTAAGAGACATGCAATTGGAAGAGCTTGTAGGCAGGCAGTTGGAAGTACTAGCAGACCAGCCAAATTAATATTTTGATTGACATCACTTCATGACTTGTCATAGTGAGAAGTGTGATGACCCCGAGTGGAAATGTCCAGGAGGACATTGTCTCCTGGCTCGAGGGAAGAAGAAGAAGCAGGGACCATGGAATCCTGCGCTGCAACGAACTGACCATACCCAACGTCATTGCAGAGAGGTGGCACAACCAGAGCGTAACGAAGCAAACACAGTGAGTGAACCATCGAATGAAACAATGTGTTAAAACAACATACAACAGTGCACCTTATTTTTCTTTGTGAATGTGTTCCGACCCCGTGGACATGAAGGGGGAGACCGCAACTCCGACGGGGGGCCAGCTGTGTTTATACCTCTGGCAAGGAGGGGTGCTCAGACAGGAGAGGAGGACGATCGTTTGCTGAGCGTCTGCTGCCGTGGGGCCTCGACCACCCCCGCGGGCTCTGGGCGTTGCCCGGGAGGGTGAAAGAAGACACTCAGCTTCCAGGCACCGATGAAAGACGTTCGCGTCGGAAACCTTTCAATGTACTCTTTGTCATTGCTTTAACCTTATCTAACCGTAATAAAGTCTTTGTTTTATTCATACTTTAAAAACGGTGACTTCTTGGACCATCAAGTCAACAAATAAGAGTTTGTGTTTTGCTGAAGCAAATCATACTAAATGACAAGCTCTCCCTCATTGGATTGATTGACACGGGCAGCTCCGGCTGTTTACTTCGTGCGTCAGCGGCAGCTCGATGTGGCACAGAACTCGTTCAGGAGTCAACACCCCTGTATGGTTTTGGAAACAGCAGTGTGCCTGTGTCTAGGAGCATTGGAGGATGCAAAGCTGACATAAAGATTGATGGTGTCATCGCGAAGGACGTTCCAATTCTTGTTGTCTCGGATGAAGCCCAGGCAGTGGGCCTATTGGTTGGACGAACATTTACTGAACTGCCCTCCTTGACATGTGCAAGAGTTGGAGGCTGTTTTCGATTCTGGCACTTGAGTGACTGCCCGTTTGCGCACTTAGAACCGTTTGAGCACCACCAAAAACTACAACTGAAAGCAGGGGAGGAGGTCATTCTCCAGAAAGACTCGGTCAACTGGATAACTCTGACGGCAGACGAAAGGGTCACAGGCCCTGTCATTTACAGACACTGCAGGACAGACATTCTAATTGACATGACTCTCGGTGAGGTCACGATACCTATATATCCTGCAAGTAATGGTGATATGGTCATCAGGAAGGGACAACCACTTGGGTGAGCCAAGCAACTTGAGATCTTGCGGGTTGACATCAAGGACACTTCTGAAGTCCATATTGGTGGCGAGGAAAACAAGGCGAGGAAAACCGAGCAACGATATATCCAGGGGACAGAAGTTAACATTGGACCTGCAGTAACCAAGTTGCAACAGAAACCTTTGGTCAATTACGGCCCTCATTTTTTATATTATATTGGATCAAACCTGTTATACCGTCAGGTGGTGCAGGTAGAGAGAAACAGTTTATTTCCTTTTTTTTATCTCTCACTTAGAAATTGAGTAATTGAATTGAGTCTGAACTAGTAGAACTGTTGAATGAATTCAGAGAGTGCTTTGCAATGACGCCACGTGAATTGGGTTGCACATCAGTCGTGGAAATGGACTTATGGAGACTTCGGGAACCAACCCTTTTGCTGTGCGGCCATATCGTACAAACGCCGAAGGACGGGAAACAATACGGAAGATTGTTAAGGAGTGGAAAAATCTCAGTGTGGTTACCGAGACAACATCCGATTATGCTAGCCGTGTGCTAGTAGTTGACAAGAAAAATGAAGAAAAACAGATCGTGGTCGACTACAGGATACTGAACTCCCAGACAGTGGAGGAGAAATACCCTTTACCCAACATCAATGACCACTTAGAAATTGAGTAATTGAATTGAGTCTGAACTAGTAGAACTGTTGAATGAATTCAGAGAGTGCTTTGCAATGACGCCACGTGAATTGGGTTGCACATCAGTCGTGGAAACGGACTTGTGGAGACTTCGGGAACCACCCCTTTTGCTGTGCGGCCATATCGTACAAACGCCGAAGGACGGGAAACAATACGGAAGATTGTTAAGGAGTGGAAAAATCTCAGTGTGGTTACCGAGACAACATCCGATTATGCTAGCCGTGTGCTAGTAGTTGACAAGAAAAATGAAGAAAAACAGATTGTGGTCGACTACAGGATACTGAACTCCCAGACAGTGGAGGAGAAATACCCTTTACCCAACATCAATGACCAGTTTGAAGGACTTGCTAGAGCGACGCTCTACACAGTCTTGGATCTTACACATGGATACCTGCAAGCACCTCTAACCGAAAAGGCTAAGATTTTGTGGGACCCTTCCAAGGCAAAGTTTTTTTACTGGTTATGGATGCACACTCGAAGTGGCTGGAGGTTATCCAGCTAGCATCCATGCCCTCAGCGACAGTGTGTCAGAAGCTATGTTATGGTGTACTAGAACTGGGCAGTGTGTCGTCCACGCCGAGAAGCAACAAAGGGAGGAGATCGGCGCAGCGATGACGGCGCGCAAGGACGGCAGGGGGCGCTGCGGGTAACAGGCGTGCTCTTTCCCGCTCGGATTGCCGTGTTGCCATACTGCTTGTGACCGCGTGGTTCGCGTCGTCGCTTTGTTTTGCTGCAGTGTTTTTTTGTTTGTTTTTTAATGATTGAGTGAAATGGATTGCGATTGGTGCCGTTTAGTGGCATGTAGACAACACGTGCAATCACAGAAAAACGGCGGGACAAGAGAGACGGGACGTGTTTTGTGCCGGGGCAGTGATTTCGCTACATCCCCCTACGGGAGTGTACTCCCCCCCCTTGTTTTTCCGAAGGCACCCCCTTAATTCACAAAGACTCTTATATTCTCAACGCCCCCCCTAATTTCAATTCCTAATTTCCCCCTAATTTCTTACTCCCTAATAATTATTACTACCTAATAATTATGAATACACCCTAACTCTTAGGGAGTACCCCCTAACCATTAGGGAGTACCCCCTAATAATTAGGGGGTACTTTCCCCTAATTTCAATTCCTGGGTCCTGTGCCGGGTCGCAACAGTGGCCACCGGTCCTGCAAAAAAAGCCCGTTCCCTTTTTCGTGCCCCTCTCGAGTTCAATCGGCGCGAGTCATGATCCCGCAACATTAAAAGGAGTGACAGGGAGACTCTGCTAATGTAATGCAGGCCAGTCATGACAGTCATACTCTACTTTTTTTTTTTCCAGACTTTTTACACTTTGTAAAGTATCTGCTAGATCGGTTTTATAGACACTGGTTTCGACACATTGAAGGGTCCTGTGCACGCTGACTACATTAGAAAGGCTCGGAGAAGTGACTGTGAAAATGTGACATGAAGGTTATGGCCTCACATCAGCAAATTTTTTTTTTTTTTCCTAACGGTTTTGAAATGATGAGGGTTGGTCCAGCACTCCCTCTCTTTAATGAGGAGGTGCTAAGAGGCCTCTTTTTTTATCGCAAGAAGACTGAAAGGTCTTAAGGCCCAGCGCAACATACTGAGTCATTTATCCTGAAGAGGTCGAAGCTGATCAAGATCATGACCTCCTGTTGGAGAATGTAGAGGTACATTCTCTAACGTATGTTGGAGAATGTACTTCTACATTTGTGGGAATGTTTGCAGTTGCCACTTCGAGGAAGGTTCAATTTTTTGTTCCCTTATTTGTTACTGATGTGAAAATACAAGTCGGCAGATTGATTAGGTATGCTGCTGTGTCGCTAATGTGCCACAAAGAGCGAGCGCCTCGGAGTTAGCGTTTCTATTATGGTGCGTTACACTGGCGCACGTTTTTGCTTGCTAAAGTGAGTCTCGCGTTGTTGCGCTAACTGCCTTCTGCTTTTTGGTTGTTATAAACGTTAGAATCGCCCACAGTTTCCAAATATTTCTAAAACATTGAGATAAAGTGGCTAAGCTGCACAGTTTGTTGTATGCGCATACCCAGAAAGAGAAACGGGAGCAGTTGTTTTCCTACCACGACCGCATCTGCCGGCCTTGTGGTTAAATAAGAAAGAGGGAAGAATCGACTTGATGTGTTGTCTTCATACATGTATCGAGTAAAAAAAAATGTTTGCAACATTGTCTACATGCGTAAGACTCAAAACAGACGGGTGTGGCCGATTTCGTGTTGTTTTTTTTCTTTGAGACCTCCAGCCACAGCCTGAAGTGGGGTTACATCATTGCCGAGGCTCGCTCAGAAATCGGCGGCTGCACGTATAGATTTTAGATATTTATTAAAAATGTATTGGACCTTATAAAATTTCAAAGTGTTGCTCCCTTCCAGTAAAAAACGAGACCAACAGACTTCCCAAGGTCATCGGCGCTCGCTAACGACGACTTAGTAGACCCCGAACGCGTCCGCCGTTGACCCGGTCAAGTTCGTTGGTGTCGTTTTTTACTGGAAGGAAGCAACACTTTGAAATTTAACAAGGTCAAATTCACCGCTAAAATACACCGTTGATGAAAATTTGACATTGGTACGTGCAGGCGCCGAGTTTCTCGGACGATTTTAGGGTGAGCATTCATATTTATGAGAATACATCAATCAAATCAATGAAATATCAAAAATGTAGAAAGGTACTTGTCTGAAATTAAAGAAATTTTTTTTTTTCCTTTTGATAATCAGATGTGATCTGGCGTAGCACTTTTGAGCAGGCTAGTTGCATGACAGAAAAAAAACATGCAAATGCATTTGAAGTGGTGAAGACAATAATGCTATGGATCGCAGCGAGCACCCATTACAATTTATTTTATTGATCTTTAGAACAGCAGCGGTAATGCATTATAGTAATAAAAACCTTTACCATTCATTTTCAATGTGCGCTCGGTAAAGCAGACGGAGGATCTGATTGCAGGGCCAGCTCTTATGCCACACTCACATTAATGAAAGGTAACCGAAACTAAATTTGTGAGAATTTCTTGGAATGACATAATTGGTCTTAACAGTCCAAATCCTAATAGAATATAAAGAAAAGTGTTCCGAGGCTTTATTTAAATTGATGCACGCCACGAGTAACAAAGACTTGAAGGCGGAGGAATGTTTTTTACAAAAGGGCAAGCTAAACTTTTTGCAGACGGCATTAGTTTTTGGACGTCTGGCAAAAATGCGAGTGAGGAAACACGCATCTTTCAGAAGCACTGTAAAGTGAAATACAAGCAAGAGAACGTGCATCATTCAAAACCGCTGTAAAGTGAAAAAAAAACTGATCTTGATTTTAACAGGATGCCACGGTCCAATGATCCGTTTCTTTTACAGAAGAAGTTTTGTTGTGGAACGACGGTGATCACCTCAAAAGTTTAATCCGCAGTTCTTTATTCGAAGCAAATAGTTGGAAACTACCTATGCATGAAATGCAACATTCGTGTGCACGACGAAATGAAGCATTCAGGCAGGGTGTCTACCAAATTGTTTTTCTTAAGTTCCCTGACTTTTCCAGGTTTTCTCTGACTATTTTAATTGAATTTCCTGACCCACAACTACCGACACCAAAACACAATATATGATAGATAGGTAGACACTATTCACAACGTAAAATATTTTCTTTAAGTTAGATAAAGCAAACTTTAGAAGATGTTTAGAATACAGCATTGACCCGGGTTTACTGTTTCAGGGAGTTTGGTCCCAGCACCTGATCAGTACATCAATTTGTTCTCCGAGTTACTTTGTTCAGTGACTCATCAAAAGCAACCACCAGATATGGCACGTCAAAAAGGCTTGCTAGTAACTTGTCTTGAAAGTAAGGGGTGATACCACGACAAATTGTATATCCCACTTTGTCTTTTCCAAGCTGAATTTTTCTGGCGGTCTCACACATAGGGAACATCAACGGAAACAGCGAGGCAGACGCTGCCACTGAACAGAAAGACTCATGAGTTGTTATAGTGTTCAAGCACCACATGATCCCCGGCCTTTGCGACTTCCTTCTTCAATAAAAAGCCACCACCCACGTCTTCACAAAGGGGTTAAGAGCTTCCGTGGCAGTGGTTAGACGCATTGCCGGAGCCCTACAAGCACTATTGTTACCACCGGACAAAAAACACCCGTTGCTGTCGCGGAAGGCAAGTCCACATTTGTCGCAGTTTTGAAAAATACGACTCGGCTCTGGGAAACGCTTTGCAGATATTTCATAGCAGCTTGATGTTTCTTACCCTCAAGATGAGTAGCAATCGCCCTATCCCCCATGTTGCTCAGGGAGAACTTCTTGCAGCACATTGCACAGTGAGCACTATTTGGATCATTTGGAATGGGCCGAATCCAACTTGCATTCGTGCATATGTCCGGGTTTGTCCAGTTGAGATCGAAGGAGCACTTTCTCGACAGCGACATAGTCACTTTCACATACCTCCACTTTCGGAAAATAACACAATAGAAAGCGCAACCCACAGCCACAAAGCACGTGGCAGAGCTCGTAGTGTACAGGCGTCCAGGTTGCGTTAACGGGGAAGCGCGAAAGCACCATATCTGACAAACGAATGGATCGCTAGGCGCGCGCCTCTCAGAGGGTAGATGAATGAACGACAGCTGTTCTTTTTCGAGTAAGTGGTGACCAGGGTGTAAGATAGACAGGTGGGGAAACGGCCCATAGAAGTCTACCGTGGCGCCGTGACCGGATTGTGTACTAGTCTGCTTGCAGGTACCCCCGACTTGCGACCGATGGCGCTGCGGAGAGAGGAAAAAAAATCGGAATCGGATTTGCATGGAATTCTTTATGAGAGTGCGCAAAACAAACCGAGAGCACGACAGTCTTCCATTGAAAATTCACGAGAAATTATCCCCGTCAGTTTAGCTGGTCGCCACCGGCCGCCCACCTAGAGTGAGAGTTCGCGGTGCTCCACATAGATGGCGCCACAAGAAAAGAGAAACCCGAGGGGGTACACAATTCGGTCGCTCACTTATCTCTCGTTTCCCCACCTGTCTATCTTACACCCTGGTGGTGACTCGCACCACCTTGTATCGGCTATACTCTTTTTCACCCCAACTTGTGCACGGGAGGCTTCACCTCTACAGGCCGCGCATTGGCCAGTCACCGTCGCACCACCACGAAGCGCTCCTCCGCCATTTTTGAAACAAATATAAACAAAAAAGTGTCTACAAAGAAAAAGTTCTATACGAGCATCGTAATCGTGATAATCCAATCATCTTAAATAGGGCTTATGATGTAGCACGTTTTGAGCTTTAATTTTTCATATGTCCAAATTTATTGGTGTGATTCTTTTTAAAATACGAATCGCACGCAGTCGCTGCGCGGTGACTGAGGCCCTACTGACTGCGTTCGTTTGTTCACGGAAGAGTGAGTCGTTCACAAACAGAATTGCTTTCTTAATAAATCCAGCACTCCCGACTTGGCTAACATCTTTTCTCAAATAAAACAATTGTACCGTCAAACTGTCCACTTAAACGGCGCAAGACTTGCAGCCTGAGTGTCTATTTCTTTACTTCTGTTGAATTTACGAACGCGTCCGGTTAACTCGGTGACGTCATGTTGTTGTTGTATTCGGGGAATCGAATGCTCGACGCGCTCGGCCCGATTGCGTTCTTCTTCTTCTGCGTGTTCAGATATTTTTTACAACTTTATCGTTCTGTTTTATTATTCAGCGTATTTCCTTTGTGGATATCGTTGAGGTAGCTTCCATGGCTCCATCTCCACCGCCGTCGAGACGTAAGTTAGCCGCCACGACACCTATAAATTTGTGGAAGAAGCATCGGCAAGGACGCAAGCTCTCGAGCGATTGCAAGCAGATGGTTCTTTCCGTGTACGCCAAGCTGCGAGAACAATACCCGGACAGGTTGAGGAACGACTTATACCAGCTGACGTCTGAGTATACTGGCGTCGGAGCACGGACAGTTGTTGCCATAAAGAAGGAAGCCATCACGAATTCCGGGCTCCTTCGAACTCCAACTGGTAAGCGCCCAAAGTCGGTTGGCACCCGTCGTCGCCTGGTCCAGTACGACTCTTTTGTGCTGTCTGCGTTGCAATCCTGCGTGCACGGCTTCTTTCGAAGGAACGAAACCCCGACCGTCACGAAGATACCCGAAGCCCTCATTGAAGCGCTGAAGGATGATGAGGTCGCCGTGGAACCGAGTCTATCGACTGTGTACCGTCTTTTGCATGACATTGGGTTCGAGCTGCAGAAGAGGAGTCGCAACTCTCTTCTCATTGAGAAGGACGACATCCTTGTGTGGCGTGCGAAGTACCTCCGCTCGATCCTGAAGTTTCGAGCAGAGGGTAAGGCGATCTATTATCTCGACGAAACGTGGGTCAACGCCGGACACACCGTCAACAAGATCTGGGTCGACACGACGGTGCGTTCTGCCAGAGAAGCAGGAAATCGCGGCCTCAGCACCGGTCTCAAAAATCCATCTGGCAAAGGCAGCAGACTGATTGTCACTCACGTTGGGGGTGACCAAGGTTTTGTGGAAGGTTGCCTCGACATTTTTCATGGAGTGAAGTCGGGCGATTACCACGACGAGATGGATGGCAACAGGTTTGAACATTGGTTTGACTTGTTCCTGACCAAGGTATTGCCAGGAAGCGTTATTGTAATGGATAACGCTTCCTACCACTCAAGACGCGTGGAGTGTGTCCCCACAAAATCTTCAACCAAGAGTGTCATCCAAGAATGGCTAAGCTCAAAGGGAATTAACTGGGACAAAGACATGCTCAAGGTGGAACTAATTTCTTTAGTCTCCCAAGTGCAACACAAGTTCCTCAGCTACCGAGTGGACACACGTGCTGAAACTGTTGGGTGCACGGTTCTTAGGCTGCCCCCTTATCATTGTGAGCTGAATCCCATTGAGCTTATCTGGGGGCAAGTGAAGAATGAGGTTGCACGAAGCAACTCGTCTTTCAAACTAAAAGATGTGAAGGTGCTTCTAGAGCAGGCAATCAACAATGTCACGAAAGACAACTGGACCGTTGCTATACAGCATGTTAAGAAGATGGAAAAGCAGTTCTGGGAGAATGACAGCCTGTCGGACAGAGAGGTTGCACCAATCATCATCGAAATCAATGCCGGAGATGACAGCGACGACTCCTATGAAGATGAAAGCTGCGATGAAGTTGTCTCTGGATTAGGCCAGCCACACATTCCAGGTGTGGAGCCACTTAATATGTAAGCAGTGTGGCAAAGTGTTTCTTCCATTGTGCTCTCCGGGAACTGCTGGAGGCCCACGTGAAGCCTTCTCTGCGTATAAGGCGGCCTGCCTGTGTGGGCTGACTCCCGAGACCTAGTATGCAACCCTGCCTCTCCGAAAACGGCTGCAGCAACACGATGAGGCGGCTTCGGAAGCCCACTTGAAGCATTCTCTGAAAACAAGGCGGCCTGCCTGTATGGGCTGACACTCGACATCAAGAGCAACTGTCTCTCCTCGTACTAGAGCAACACCACCTGATTAGAGTCACGAACTAAACAAAATTGCCGCTGCTACTCTGCTTCACTAGTAACTGTGAGTAACTCCTTAGCCGCCATACTTTAGCGTTGCTACCCTAAAGTGTAGCTTATTTAGTGGCTTTAGAGTGTATTAAAACAACGACGAGTCGCCAGTTTCGCACATGCTCTCGTGTGAAGCATAGCGCGTGGAAAATTGGGCGGGTCGCGACGCCGCACTTGACTGCGCTCGTGGCTATGCCTGCCCGTGCCTGCCGCTTCTAGCGTAAGCGGGCGAGCATGGGATAAATTCCCTGACTCGGCAATTTTTTTGGAAATTTCCCTGACAATTCCCTGACTTTTCCAGGTGTCTTAAAATTCCCTGACAATTCCCGGTTTTCCTGGTCGGTAGACACCGTCAGGCTGGAAGTGCACAGCTGTCACCAGGTCAGTTGAGTGAACACGAGGGGAACTTTTGTACAGATGGAACGTCGCTTGAGCCCGATGCAAACTTTGAATCCTTGAAAGCTTCGTTGTCTGCCGTAGGGAAGCCAAAGTTACCCTTAAGAGGTCCTACAAACAACGGCAAAGCTACGCTAAGAAAAAGCTAAAAAGTATGCAAAACACTTTTTCAGCAAAGCTGTATAGAAGCTTAAACATTCATGTCCCAAGTACAACTTGTGTTGAGACCCTTGTGGATGACCACCTAGGTCTTCTCTGCGAGTTAAAAAAAAATTCAGGTACAAAACCTCAAGAGCTAAAAAAATTGTATATTTTGATCTTAGCACCGGCACCATGGGAGTATGTTGCAAGTGGCCAATTTCTTTGGTGCAACAAAATGGATGGTGCACGAAGCTAGGAAGCTCCACAAGAATGGCGGAGTACTTTCGGAACCAGACGCCAAAAACTGACCAAAAGACCTCCATTAGAAAGTTTTATGAAGATGACGCAGTAAGCTACAGCAGGCCAGGAAAAAAAAGACGTCATTTGCAGAAAACAAAAACGGTTAATGCTAATTAATCTCAAGGAGGCTTTTCTTCAATGGAAAAGCCAATAGACGCACAGTGCAAATTTTCCAGTTTCGCCTCATTGCGACCATGGTGGTGCGTGTTATCAGGAGCACCCGGCACACGCACAGTTTGCGTCTGCTCCTATCACCAGAACATAGAGCTCCTGCTACACGCTGCAGGAGTAAACGACAACTACAAGGAGCTACTACGTTCTGCTGTATGCAGTATGGAGAACGAAGACTGCATGTTTGGCCGATGCTTTTCCTGCCCCGGCTTGGAAAGTCTTAGAACTTTATTGGGTGACAATCTTCGTAGAGTGCAAGAGGCCGAAACCATAAAATTCAAAAAGTGGATCTCCGGAAACCGCACTACACTTGAAACGGTGCAGCTTCCATCTGAAGAGTTTGTGAACCACCTCACCAGACAGCTGTTGTCTCTGAAGCCCCATCACTTCGTTGCCAAAGAACAGTCAAGTTTTTAACGGAAATAGAAGCAGAATTTACTCGAAAATCAAGCCACCTTTCTAATAGATTTTGCTGAAAATTACAACTTTCTTGTTCAAGACTCTCCCCAGTATTTCTACTGGAAAAAAACTCAAGCAACTATTCACGTTGTATATTACCCGGCGCAAGGCGAAAAGGAAATTCGGCACCAAACCTTCACAATAATTTCTGATGACCTAACACATGATAATGCAGCCGTGCATTTGTTTCAAAGAAAGGTGATCGAGCTCTTCCAATGCACTCAGAAAGAAGTAACGAAAATTCATTACTTCACAGATGGCGCAGCTGCATAGAACAAGAGTAAGAAAAAGTTCATCAATCTCTGCTTCCACCATGAAGATTTTGGCCTTGAGGCAGTGCGACATTTCTTTGCCACACCACATGGAAAGGGTCCATGAGATCAGGTAGGAGGAACCTTAAAGAAACTGGCTGCCAAAGCAAGCCTCCAATGCCCCCTCAATGACCAGACTTGCATGCCCTGAGAGTTGTATGAATGGGCAGTGGGAAGCCTTTGCAGTGTAAAACCCATCTGGGTATCTAAGGACAACATCAACGCTGAATGAGAGAACCTCGCAAGCCACTACCAACATCCGAAAGGCCTTCCCAGAACAAGGGGATTCCACGCTTTCATCCCGATCTCCTTAGCAGAAGCGAAAGGGGTGACGTCATCAGCGAGAGACAAACTAAAATATTTAGTCAACAAAATATCAGTCCCGAGTAAATGAATATTGTGGCACGTGTTAATGTTGATAAATATCTGAAGGAGAAAGAAACGAGATGTAACCTACAACATGGAAAGTGTATGACAGTTGTGGAAAAAAGGAAAAAGGAGCGTCAAAAAGAGACACAAGACCAACAGCCGTGATGCACGAGGCGCGAGACGGATGGTGCGCGGCAGAAGAACGAAGGCGTCGGACGACAGTACTGCCACCGAGCGATACCAAAAGACCAGAGTGGCAGAACCTAAAGAGGCCTGCCTCGGAGACCCCACCGCAGACGACCCGACTATGGGACATCGGGGACGGCTGGGCTAGCCTGAGACCTAAAGTAATATGCTTACCCAATTCGGTGCAATCATGTAACTTCTTGGGAGAGTGGGTGGGGCAGAGACCGACCAGGCGGCAGTGAATATTGAGCGACCCACACAACAAAGATCTATTACAAAAAGGTTTGCAGTGACAGAGAAACTGGATGCCTAACACCAATCTGAGCCGTGCCTGTAAAAACAAGATCAGGTACAAAGAAAGCAATTTGAATGTCCATGATAAAAACAATGACGTTTTTATCATTTGCATGTGTACAATAAAAAAGGGTCACAACTGAAACGTTTGCATGAGTACTTTGCAGCAATTTAAGACATTTGATTGAGCATGGGTTATGACAAAAAAATTCTGTTTGTATATGGCTCCTTTTTACGTTAAACACGTGAAGACCTGTTTACGAACTTCCCAGGTGCTGAGGTTCCGTTACGGCCTCCTGAGCACAAAGCCGAGGGTTTGAACCCTGTGTTCTTTTCCCCAAGGAGTCTTTGGCGTGTCGCTCATAGCCCAAGTGCCTCACAGCCTAATACTGCAACCTTTTCTTTTTTTCTTCCATTTATAAACTATTCGACATAAAGTAAGCCCTCATATACTTTGACATTTTAATACATTCATATAACAGACCCTGTCATATAAAACTAAAAAAAGCTTTATTAACCACATAAAAATTATCTTGGGCATCATAGAATACTGCATACGTGTGTACATCTTCGAAACTTTTTGTCTGAAGAAATTGGTATCTTTTTAGAATAAATTCAATTCCCTCGCAGACCCTTCGACCCCACCCTACGGGTCGGGAGACCGTGCCACAAATATTCGCGAGATCTTCAGCAAGTGACTCACTTCTTTGTATGACGCATACCAAGTCAATAGTAAAAAGAAAAAACAAAATATGAGGGAGAAAACCAAAAACGAGGAAGGAAACTTTCTGCCAACAAAGTATCATTCCAATAAATTTGTTAAATGTTAGTTTTTTTTAGTTCCATATCACAAAATCTGCATGCTCTACTCTGCAAGCAAACATTTGACCTTGGACTTGATTAAAATAGGCATGACCTTTCTGCAGGATCAGATCACCATCTTCAATCACTTAAGGTGGGGTGAGACTTTGTTTAGTCAAAAATCCTGTTTTTGAATTTTGCTTTTTTTTTTTTATAGCCTGTTTCCTTAGCTTTCAAATCATATATAACATGTGGGGATTAGTAATGCGGAAAATGCTTCTTGATGCCTTCTTTCATGTTCTGTGTAAGCAAAAAAGTGGGTGTGGTTTCACGAAAACTCCACAAATGTTCCAATTCACACCAAAAATCTTGTTTTGTGTGTACCAAAGTTTCGGTTTCACGGTTTTCTTCTTGTACGTCGCACATTTTCCAGTCACTAGTGGTTTCTTTGTAGCGCGTTTGAACGAAATTGGCGGTAGAAACGTTCAAACGTTTAGTTTGACCTTCGAAGCGTATTTGATGCTACTGTGAACATGGTACTGCTGTGATTTCTTTGATATTACGAACGGGAAGATTGCAACGACTGACAGCAAAGAGGAAATTTCATATGAATCGCTACGGAGAGTCACAATCGTCCGAGAGACCTGCAAAGAAGGTACGGCCACAGTCATGTGCTTCATCTTCGAAAATAGACTTGAATGGTTGGTTTGAAGCAACTGCTGACAATGACAGTGTGCTTGTATACTGCCTTATCAACGTCAGTATCCAATTGTTTTTTTTTTTAAAAACATTTGGTTTATGCGCACTGTGATAACCACGCTTCATTGTGCATCAGCGGACTGGTGGAGTCCAAGGTGGTGTTTTCATGGCAGAACACAAAACGCTAACGAGGCACTCAACCAAATGATCTAGGCCAGATGCCCGAAAACAACATTTGGCAGCTTTAAGACTGATCAGACAGTTGTTGATGACGCCGTCCCCTGCTTCAATGATGGAAACATGTCACGAATCAAAGTGTTGAAGCAATTAGGTGCCACCCCTGGTCCACTGTGTGTATCTACACTGACATCATCATCATCATCATCATCATCCTGAAAAGCGAACTACAAGCTTACAGATGAAGCCAAACAGCACAGAAAAGACAAAAGAAACAAAGAGAAAGGCCACAGTGACGCTGCCCAAGAAAAAGACTGCAATCCTGGAATGTTCTGATATTTTTTCTTTCTATTTTCTTTAAGTCTTTTTTCTTCAGAAC